GGAAGTTACCCTATCAGCGCGTGCGCAATTTACACTACCAGCGCACTTCGGTAAGATCAAACAAAGCCACACGGAGTTAGTTTTTCTTCTTTCTATTGTTCTTGTTTCTCTGTTTTTCTCTTATTTTGTCTTTGCTTGTACTTTTTCTACTATGCATTTTGTGAAACACAAAGAAAAAACATCTTAAACGCAAACGAATTTGCAAGTTATTCAGTTGTTTTTACTTTCCACGCTCAGGCTGACGGAAGTAACCGGAAGTGAAATTTCACCTCCTTAGCAACGCGCGCGAGCGCGCGCATAAATCGGTTAATGGGCCCTTAACCTTATAACTTACTCTAGAGATCACACTTAGAGCCCTGCTTGTCTTCTTGTCTTATGACTTCAGAAAAGGGAGTTTTCATCAAATGAGGAGAAATGATTGTGATTTATGTGATCACATTATGTTTAGGCCTATTCCTTATCGTGATGAATCAATAATTAAATGATTATGAAAAAAATTATTGAAGAGAAAATATATACTGTACATGTTTAAGAGAACGCTTTAAAGATAAGAACTGAGTAGAAGGAAGAGAAAGAAAACTTAAGATTTAAGGCGCGAACATGAAGGGGCAGAACAAGTTCGTACTAAAACTGATTTGAGAAAAACCAAGAATATCATTCAAGAAATAAAAATGTGAACTATTCTCTTGTTCTGCCGACGCTGGAGTACCTCTGTTCCCTGAATTTCTAACGCCCCTCTCCCCCACCCTCCCCCCTACACCGCCATCCCAGCATGGTTAGTAGAAGGGACTGGGTCATGACTTCACAAACAGAAAAGTCATGCAGAAAAATCTAACTGAACTGAAATTGACAGGAAAAGAAACAAGTTTGACCGAAATTAAAAACTGTTACAAGTGGATTTACCATTTTTCAGTAATTTCTACGCTTGATATTATAAGATTTTGAAACTTTTTTAAAAGCCGAAAGTGGTCATAACTAGGGATTTCATTTTCTTTTGTTTGCAAATGGTACTTTGAAGATTGCCATCTTGGGCATTGTTCCCTGGACCCTAAACACGTAATGTGGCAACGCGTGTTTCGGGCGCAAGTAAGTTCAAAGTGCGGAACTTGATATAGTGAACGGGTCATTTTGCAATTTATGTGCGTTGGCCCTTGGGCTGGCGTTACATATCTTCGCTACACAGTGGTGACGAGTCCCGATATTAAGGACGAAACAGCTGCCCACTGTTGCGATCCTGCTTTACCGGTGTTAGTCATGTTGGTGTCTCGAAACATCTTTCACGTAGTATCAGCCTTGCAGTCTATTGTTTGTCTTTATGTATATTTTTGGCTGATCAGATCTCTTGTAGGTCCGACGTTGGCAGCGTTTATCGTATGCGGTCCTTCGCAGTTTCTGGTTTCTCATAGATTTTGACCATCGTGGTCTGAAATAGGGATGTTGTTTTTACTGTACATGTGGTTTGGCACTGGGTATTTACTTAACTTACAATGAACTTTTTTTGTCCGTATTTAACATCGGCAAATTTGTACCCCTTCTCAAATGTTCACGCAAATGGAAGGCACTGTCTTCTGGTTTCCCGCGGTCATATGGTCCAGTTATAGAGCCGCGTACTAATTTTAGAGGTCTGAAACAGGATCGATCGATTTTGGGTTCAGATCTGAAACAGGACACAGATATTAGTCTGAAATAGGGTACAGGCTTCAAGGTTCGGGCCGCACACCCATACAAAAAACTTGGGCAAGTACCCCCCACCCACCCCCCGTCTCGGGCAACAAACCATCTCTAATCTCAGACGCTGCTATGCTACAATTGCTAGGGCTCTGGACTCTAGATTGTCCCCAAGCCCCCAGGATATTTTGATCTTCATTCCTCTGATCATTCCTCGACTGATCTTGAATGTAATATTGTAGCCACAGCGGCTTTCGGGATCATTATCATAGGATAAACAGTACGAACAGTCACAGGAAGTGATATAGGATGGTTAAGTAAGTTGTTTTGAAAGTGTCGTTTTCGCTTTCGCCGACTTCGTTTGTGAACAGAAAAATTTTTAGGGAATCAAAACGAAACAAGAGGAGAAATGGTTTAGGATGTAACACTGTCGCCACGTCAAATGGAAGCTGGGAATGAAGAAGATTAAGGGGAAGTTGGCGAAACGAAGTTCTCAGGTTAGTGCAGATTGACCATGGTAATAATATGGAGCCTGATATGAAGAGCTGGAGTGTTTATTCGGGGACAACAGGTTCTGTAAGCTTATGTTTGCGATCTTTTGATACTTGTTTGAGATTAAGGGATTATGAATATTAGCTTAATTAAGCAGTGAGTCTCAGTAGGCTTTCATGTAGTCTTCCTTGTGAAGTTTGCAAAATAGGAATATTCTTCAGTTGAGAGACAGTTATTCACACGAGCAGTAAGCCTGGTTCACACTAGCGACATAACGACATGCATAACGACATCGTCACGAACGACATAAAAAGGACGTTATCTCGAGGTACAAAGGACGTTATGTTTGTAGTGTGAACATGTAGACATAATGACATATTAGCAAGATAACAGCATGAACATAATGACATAAAGATAAAACTGATCTTTTGCTTATGTTGTTATGTCGTTATATCGCTAGTGTGAACCAGGCTTTAGGGGCCTTGTTGCATGCTTATAATAAGGTCCGCTGGACGTCTGGTAGAGGAAGGGGTAAGGCGAGTCAATTTTGGACGTTATTGACCAAATGGAAAATGATCCATTTTGATGTTTGGAACAGCGCTTAACGAGAACAGGCAGTCTTCATTTGTGTGAATGAATGACATACAGTTGAAAAAGACTGAGTAAAGAAAGACTTCAGAGTACTTGAGGGAGTGGAATGCTGTTGGCCTTTTGTGGCCTGGTACCAGTGATTGTGGTGATTTTGTTTCCCTGTTCCACTGCATGAGGGTCTCGGTGAAACAAAACTCACTGTTTCCCTTGGGGCCAGTCATTAAGTGCAAATTATTTTTCTGTGGATAAAAACACTATATTAAGGTACATGTATCAAACATGCTTACTTCTAATTCACTATTATTGTCACTTTGTCGGGCATTGTGGGGCATTGTGTGGGCTAAAATGGAGAATTTGCCGGGCTAATATGTATTTTAGCCCTCTGAAATAAACTTCACATTTGCACTTACAAGTAAGCTTTATTAATTGACCTTTCCTTTCATGTCCTCTACAATTTTTTAAAACTCAAATGGCAAGATTTTGTAATTTTTAGCCAGCTTTGCTTGATGTATTTTGTATTTTCACAGAGTGAAAATAAAAGCTGATTGTCCAGACTGTTTTGTTGACATTTTTTTCAGTTTTTATTTTCTCGGTGCCCTCCAAAGTGATAACAGAAATGGAGTTTATGTTTTTGGGCATAAATATGTTTTGGGCTCTTCTCAGAGCTCATTTTAACCCTCATTTAGTGGCTCGGGCTAAAATGAGTCTGAGTCAGGCCCAAAACATATTTATGCCTGCGAACTCTATTGTTTTATTGTTTTATTTTTTCTTCTTATCATAATGTCTTTGTATTACTAAATAATTCAAGTTTTGAATACTACTTTCAATTGATTTTTAACAGTAATTCATTTACAGGAAACAAGGTACATAGTGTACTATCAGTAGTTAAGCTAAGTAACCATGGAGCAATTAAAAGACTTTTTCCACACAGACGCAACTTCAAGTGAATCACCACAGTGCAGCTGACTGGACTAAGTATGATGAGCGACTTATTGAGTGTGTTGAGAATGGAGATGTGGAGAAGCTCAAGTAAGCTCATTTGTCTTTAGTGTTGTACATTTGTTTTTGTTTAGCAATGTGAAAACACCTCGGCAATTGTATTAGTTTAATGAAGTAGTTAGCTTGTATAAATTACTTGATTGCCACTCAATGACTTACATGTACCATCTATAGTCAATCTCAAAGAAAACACTTCACATATGCTGCTAAGGGTGATTCCCGAAGATGTGCAGTCACTGTACAGTAGCATTCTTTGCACTAAAAAAGGGAGAACTGACATTACCTGAAGTATAGCTGTTATCCTCGGTCAAAATGAGAGTGTGGTATTACTCAGAAAATAAAGAAAATGCATGGATCTGAACTCACGAACAGAGTGTATCACGCTAGCGATGCTAGAACTCATGTGTCTAACATGTTGTGTTCTACCACAAGGAAAAGCACTCAACATTTGTTTGTTATCCTGTATGAAATGTATCTTTCACCTAACATATAGTCGGCACTGAGGCTAACTAACCTGTGCATGCATTTCGAACAAATTGCTGTAATTGTTCTTAAGAGAATAGCACCACAAGGATAGCAAGAGATTTGTGGAAACATAATAATAACAATAATAAAAATATTAATAATAAAATATATTATTATTATTATTATCATTATTATTATTAATTGTTCTTAAGAGAATAGCACCACAAGGATAGTTTCAAATAGTTTTGTACCATCATCAAGAAAGTAACATAAGTACGACACGTTTTGCATATGACACACAGGTACCTACCCCACCCACCCCCCTACAGGGGACCACCTTAACCGGTCCGTATCTCAAACCCCCTTCTCTAAAATCCTGTATCAACCCCAGGCTGTTAAGTAGTTTATTACTATATTTTTTTCTTGGTGCAAACTTGTCATCACCCTGTTTTATCAGTACTTGTACTGATACTTTGTACTGAATTAATCTTAGGTCAACATTGGCAAAAAAAGGAACATCAGCCACTAAGGTGGATCCAAATGGAACAACAGCGTAAGGAAATATCCAAGTATATAAATTTTAAGTCATGACAGTCAAATCTCTAGTAAATATATTATACATGTAGTCGTTTCATTGTATGACAATTTTTTTTTTACTTACATGGTTAATGGTCCAAAGTGTCTGCTCAGAAAGCTGGACAACTAAAAATAGGAAGATCAATGCCTGATTTTTTGAAGGCATGTCAGATGTTAGTGACCATGCGCATGGTGTTGATGTACAGTCGCTAATCATGGACTGAATGTGAACGAAAATAATCGTAGTCATAGATTCTCTGTTATATCAGCTTGTGGTGTTGTTGTTTGAATCTCCTCTCTTTTGCCCGGTTAGCGAGTAACAAGCAGAAAACTTTACACGACTCACTGAAATTCTTGGTGGCGGCATTACATTTTCAATCCCAAACAGTGCAGAGTTTGCAGCATTTACAGCGTTTGCAGCGTTTAAAACATGTCTAATGTTTGTTTGGTTTCCTTCTATTGTTCGTTTCGTTTCGAACGTTTAATTGCGCACCTCAAGTTTATTTATTCAAAGACCTACGTGATTGGTTGACATTGCAAGGGATTTCCAGGGACCCTTCATGCAAAAAACTGGCTTGGTAAACAAAATGATCATCTGTTTGTTGCAACCAATTTTGTAGTGTTTTGAAAACTTCTGACAGGTTGTTTTGTGCAGACAAGAAAATGCACGTCAAAATTGAAAGATCTTATCTTCCACTGAAGTTAAGATCAATTGCTCAATTAACTAAAAATAGTGTCACAAAAATCAAGATATATCAACTGATAAAGCTATTAAATAAGGCTCGGTTTAAACGTCGCATTTTACATGTGCCGAATCGAATTGCTGAATTAAGTGCGTGTAAAATGCGACGTTTAAATCAATTAAATGCGACATATTTCAATTAAATGTGAGTTCAGTCGAGTATTTGACTGAAGTTCAACAGTTGATTTAAATGCCACATTTTACATGTGCCGAATCTAATTCATAAATTATGTTAAATAAATTATGTTAAATAAATTGTGTGTGCTCGAATGGGAATTAACACGTCGCTATCGCTTGCGCTCAACAATTTTATTCAGCAAAAAAATGTGACGTTTAAATCAAATCAGCCAAACTTATTCATTCGAGTCGACTAAAATTAGTATTTGATTTGGCGCATGTAAAATGCGACGTTTAAACCAGGCCTAAAAAAAAAAAAAAATGGATAAATCAGTGGTAACCTTTCTGCTTCATTCAACCTGGAATTTTACTAGCCGTGAGAACCAACGATTCTGATTGGCCAGCCTGTAATTGTATTGTATCAAAAGTTAACAAAAAGAGTCAACACAATTGTTTCATCTGGGATCCGTCTAGGTTTTTTACGAAGGCACAGGAGGTTTCGTTTGTACTTTAAAACAAGTTGTCATGTTAAACATGCCTTAATGTAACAGAAATTGACATGACATGAGTAATTTAATGCTGCCACTGAAAGCCACGAAACTTTCAGCTGATCCCAAGTTCACTGAGTTCAAACCTCTCATAGCACTGGCTAATCATGTAATAAATTTAGGAAGAGCAGCGTGGTTCTGGTCCAGTTTAGGAACAAAAATGATACTCCAACAGTCTTCCAAGTACTGTTTACAAGCAATTTACTTCAAACATTTTGCACGTTTTTTCGATGCATTGGGAAAGCAGGCTTGCCAATGCTTTCAGTGAAATAACTCTAAACACATCCTTGAATAATGCTGAAGAACATTTTAAATGATCTGCGCATTGGAAGATTTATAAACTATGTAAAATTTGCATTCATTGTGCCTAAACTGTGCTTGCCTGTGCCTGAACTGTGCATCAATTGAAGCTGAAGTCGAGATTCATGTGCCAGTGGCAAGTCACCAAGCAACAGACGCAAGAACAAGGACGCCAAAGATAGTTCAAAACCCGGGTTGTAAACGATACTCAAAATAGAAATCAAACGAATAATAGAAATGATACGAACGTGTGATAAAAACAAAACGCACAATAAAAACATTGCAAACGATAGAAACAATCCAAATGATGGAAACAAAACGAACCAAACGAACGATGTGAACGTTTTCACAAGCTGGACAAAACGCTTATGTTTAACGTTGAAATTCGGACCAAAACTTTGGTTCAAAAATATGAATGTAACGCTAGAAAATCACTTTTATCTTTGGTTGTGTTGACTTTCTGTGAAAAATACCTATTCAACTTGATTCTGCAACTCATGTGCACCTTGATTTTCAAGACTTTTGTCTCAAAATTTTAACAGCAACAGAAAGGATGTCAAAAATTTCAAACTCGTTCACTCCTGTTTTTATCGTCAATTTCCTGTATGGTGTTTTCATTTTGTTTTCAAGTGAAAGTAAGTAGATATTCTGGGATTTTCTCATTAGGAGATAAATGCACATATAATTTACTTTCATTTGATGCCGCCAGATTGTTATAGCTGTCCTTAAATTTTATACTCCACCGTGTTTTTTAGCATTACATATTTTGTAGCGGCTCGGTAGACCAACACTGTGCGCATGGCCTAGTACATGGCAGAACCACAAAGCCTTTACCGTCACAGCTATCAGGTATTTAGTGGAAAGAATGGCCGAAACTCCTTGGAATTGTCAAAACTGTAATATTGACAATAATTATGCTCTCTCATCATAGGCCTGCAGTGCCTGCAGAGAGCTATATAATAAAACTCTCTGCACGCATTGCAGGCCTATGATGAAGGATCATTGAAGGGGTGACTGCAAAACCATGCTAAGTGACGATTTGGGTGAAAAAAATATTTGCGAAAGTGCTTGAATTTTTGCATGTGGTCCTCAATGTAATAGAAAAATGTGGTTCTGTATTTTTGCCGCTGGTTTTTGCTTTGCTTTATAAAGACGCCGCTAGGAAAACCAAGTGGTTTTTTGTATACACAATATCTCGAAAACGAAGCAAAGTTTAGCGGAAAAACTACGGGACATTGCTAAACATACCTAAACAAAACTGCATGCGAAATTTGGAGCATTTTCAACAAAGTTCACTTTTGAGAAAAATACCTAATGCCCTTTTTCAGCCAAGCTCTTTAGATAAACGAAGCCAGGGCCTTTGTTATAATAAACCGAAGCGAGCCTTTGTTATAAGTCAAAGTCGCACCTTGGTTTATTATAACAAAGGATTCATAACAAAGGATCGGCTCAGTTTATTATAACCAAGCCCGGTTTTGTTATGTGAAGGGCTTGGTGGAAAATGGGCGTTACGTATTTTGATCAAAAGTGAACTTTGTCAAAAAAGCTCCAAATTTCGCATGCGTTATTTTTTAGGTGTGTTAAACAATGTTCTGTATGTGTTTTTGCTGAAGTTTGCATCGCTTCTGAGACATTAAGGGTTCAAAAAACTTGTATTTGTTGTCACGTCAGTGTGTGACCGCAAAGATGTTCATTTCACTTAAAATGCAGCAAANAAGTAAGTAGATATTCTGGGATTTTCTCATTAGGAGATAAATGCACATATAATTTACTTTCATTTGATGTTGTCAGATAGTTATAGCTGTCCTTAAATTTTATACTCTGTGTTTTTTAGCGTTACATATTTTGTAACAGCTCTGTACACCAACACCGTGCGCATGGCCTATACAATGGTAAACACTACAAGCAGTTGCTAGAACTACAGGGTCACCTGTTTCCAATCGCACAATTCATGGAAAATCACATTCATGAAAAATTGCAAAATTTAAGCAAAATAACCCATCAACTAACAAACGTTATTCTCTTAACTCTGATATACCCAGCCCATTTTATGAAGTTCGAATAGGCATAGAAGTTTTTGTGGAATGCTACACCTCAACATGAGCATCAACGATCACTGTATGACTCTTTGATCACACATATCTAGAAAATGAACTCTACGGTTCTATGGCTCTACTGCTTTACAGCTCTACAGTCACTCATTTCAAATAATTAACTCCACAGCTCTACAGCTCTACCATCAGACACATGTAGATAATGAACTCTATCACTCTACGATCACACATATCTAGATAATGAACTCTACAGCTCTACCATCACACATTTCTACAAACTCTACGTACACTGTAACTAAATTTGGTGAAATATGGGGTCATATTTATTTATTAAATGTACTGTACTAATGTTCTGAAGGAAGATGGTCAAATAAGCCTTTTCGGTCGTACCAATGAACTGAAGGAAAGTATTTAAAATATACGGTCATACTAATGTACTGAAGGAAAGCAAAATATACGGTCATACTAACATTCTGAAGGAAAGTAAAATTTACCATCCTATTAACATACTGAAGGAAAGTAAAATATATGACCATATTAAAGTTCTGAAGGAAAGTAAAATACAGGGTTGTACTAACGTACTGAAGGAAAGTAAAATATATGGCCAAACTAAAGTTCTGATGGAAAGTAAAATATACGTTTGTACTAACGTTCTGGGAGAAGATAAAATATACGGTCTTCCTAAACAAACTGAAGAAAAGTAATATATATGGTCTTACTGACGTATTGAAGGAAAGTGGGTAAAATATCCGGTCGTACTAACATACCAAGTGGGAGGCAGGGTGGTCTCATGGTTAGTGCGCTCACCTCTGGATCAAGTAGTCCAGGTTCGATCCCTTGCCGGGGAAATTGCATTGTGTTCTTGGGCAAGACACTTCACTCTCACAGTGCCTCTCTCTACCCAGGTGTATAAATGGGTACTGGCAAACTTAACGTTGGGGGTTAACCCTGCAATGGACCAGCATCCCATCCAGGGGGGAGTAGAAATACTCCTAGTTGCTTCATGCTACAGAAACTGGGATAAGCTCTGGCTTGCTGGGCCACTTGGCCCGTAGGCAGACTTTTTGCTAATGTACTGAAGGAAAGAAGTAAAATATACGATCGTACTAACGTACTGAAGGAAAGTAAAATATATGGTTGAAGCCAAAATGTGCAGGCTAAATTTCATTTTATCAAGTGCTGATCCATGCTCTTTACTGAATCTGCATCCACAACAACACATGGTGCAATTGCATCAGTTGTTTTGATCAGGATATGGCATTTAGTAGTATTAACACTTCAGAAACACAAGCCAAATATGAGTAGGAAGAGCGAAAGCATTCCTTTCAGCCTTCATGGCAGTTGAAGAGGCTTTGGTTTTCATTTGTACCTGGATTTTCTGTGTCCGTTGACAGCCACAACTAAGGACATGATGTACTGGGAGACTGATCATGTTAAAATGTGACCGTACACAGGAAAAACGTACCCTAGCACCCATCCGTTAAATGGCTAAAAATAAACGGGTAGTTAACACCTTTAAAAGCATTAAAACATTTAAAAGAAACATTTTAACGGATATTGAATCTTGGCAAACGGCTTGGCAAAGCGTTCAAATGCTGAACAAAAATTTTTGAATTGATGAATGGAGGCGTTAAAATGGCTCGCAAAATTTTTGAATGGATGACTTGAAGCGTTAACATGGCTGGCAAAAATTTTCCAACAACTGGAAGCATTTAAACGGTTAGCTCATGTTTTCAAACAGATGACATCAAGCATTTGAACGGTTAGCCAAACTTTTCGAACAGTCAACTTGGAGCAATAAAACGGTTATCAAAAGTTGTTTTTGAAGGGTAACTTAGCACATTGTCAACAAAAGAGCCAAAATATCTCAAACCATAAGTGCTTGACAAATGCTATAGAAAGAGTCTAAAGCAATAAGAAGGATTCTAATCAATCATCCGTAAACTGGATAGATGATATAATTCAAAGTAAGAAACACATTTCTTTCCATGGTTGTTTAATCCAAGTCATCATCATATGCAATGACAATCCAGAAACATTTCCAATGAAATTCCATCAGTACAAACAAAGCAACCTTCAGTCACCAATCATTTTCAAGAAACAAGATTTACTATCGATAAATACTACAAACGGTTCGGGATCAAGCTTGTCCAGAACAACAAACTCCCAATTGTTCCGTGCAATTCACACGTGACACAAGTAAAACACTTTTCCTGGATGAGGTGGGAGAAGTTTGCTCATAGCCTAAACCTCAGTCCTCAGACGACGACTGACATGCATTTCAAGATAGAAATATACTGTCCACGACCTTGGTATGATTCAGCAACAAAATAGAATGCAGGAGACTGATTACAAAGGGGCACATTGTGTACATCAATTCAGGTTACCCAAACACAGCCGCTCTTGTTCATTTTGACCACCACTGTTTCATTTCGATGTTTTAGTTTTTGATTTCTGTTTTTTGTTTTCAACCAAAATATATACTAAGCCAAGCTAACTTTAAGAACTCAACCGGCAACAAAACACGAAATAAGCACAGTTGTAAATCAAGCGTTTGTGAACATGCCAACTTGATTTATTTACATGTAGCCTGTGAACAGGCTCTGGCTGGAAGGGCCAAAAAGGAACTGGCTGACAGTGAAGTGGCCGAGGGGAAAACAGGGTGGGGGTTGTGGCATGGGAGCCTGTGGAGAAAGGTTGTATGCTGCTGTTCCAAGGCATCTGCAGGGCACTAGAATCTAGTGCAACCTCTAATTGGTCAAAACACTGACTGTTGACAGGTTTGATTGCATGATATCCATTTTGCCAACCCGATCCATAAAAATTTGCATATTGTCTCACCTCTGGCTGTAAGCAGTTAACAGATGAACTGTTTGAAAGAGGAGCGATTTGCTAAGGGATTCCATTCATTTTAAACAGTTGAAAGAACAAAAACATCGCTTGGGGTCGGTGGCTGAGAAAATGGATGATTTCGGAACTCTTCCCACCAGATTTGGGACAAGTTTAGTGTAAAATGGAGTTGGTAGGCTTCCATGACTGGTGCCATTCGTGACATTAATTTTGTACATTTGCTGGACATACCATGTCCAGCACATGGCATACAACTCAGGTCAGAAAAAAACCTCTTCTTGTGCAAACACCCAGGTTTTCTAGCGCTTGAGCAACAACAATGTTGTCTAGTAGCTCAAGAAGCTCCTTGTTTTTGGCATAGCTATGTTTTTGGACATGCCAAACACCAGTAACATGTTTACTCTTTTAGCATTGATTTGCATGTTCATTTGAGTGTAAAAAAATTAGAATTAATTATCATCGATAATTGCAAAATTGCCTCAACTACGCGTGGCCGGAAAAACAAGTCATGTGACTTATGTTTTAAAAGGGAAATCTTATCATGTAACGGACATTCGAAGTCAAGTCAATCAACAGTCATAAGTATAAACATCAAGATAGCAATCAAAGGGATCTGACACTCAGGAACACAAATTGTAAGTTTCGAAATCATTTGTCACTTCGATTTAGAATGTTGTAAATAATGATTTATCTCGTAATTATTTCAATTTCAGTTGACTACGATGTAACCACGGATGCAACGTGCCGTGCAAACTCTAGTTATAAATAAATATGACAGCTTTTGATCCCTGGTGGACTAATCTTCAAAATAAGTAGCACCTTCATCCATGGGAGCGAATCAAGCATCATTAGTCCTTCTTGCACTGCAATCTATTTACATTCCAATGCATCCACGCAGAGATTATGACATGCTACCGACAGATTAATGACAGGTTAATTACAAGGGGGCTGAACAGTGGCTTCAATACTGGAACCTCCCCTTACGGACAACTCTCTAATACGGACACCTGCGCTCTAATACGGATAGTACCTACAANCCCCCCAATCCCCTCTTTCTTCCTGCTTTCTCTTCGCCCCATCCTCAACAAGAGAGCCTTTTCACAGGCAAATTTACATGCATCTCACGGCTTTCTGGTCCACTCAACAAGTTGTTTTACTGTTCCATTCTGTCTGTCTTTTAAACTTTTGCCGTTTGAATTCGAACTCTACAGCTTCTGGTTAACTTTGTCTTTGGTCATTTCAACAGTAAGGTTAAAATGTTCTTTAAAGCGAATTTATAATGGTTCCAAGACTTTCTAAATGGATACGGGATGTTGCTTCCCATTAAAACAGATGAAAAGATTTCTTTAACAGATTGCTTCTGCTGTTTAAACAGATACTTTGATTTTCACAACAGATACCTCTTTCCATTTTAACAGATGCAAAAAATTTATGAACAGTCGTGAAAGCCGTTTGAACAGTTTGATCCTAACAGTTTGATCATGAAGCGTTCAAACAATTTTTGTAAGTGTTTAAATGGATTACAAACAAATAATAAATGATTTTATCCATCTAATGGATAAGGGCTAGTGTACATGTATGTTTTCCTGTGTAAGGTCACAAAAAAAAAGGAAACTTTCCATTTACATGCTGTTCTGTTGCCATTCTTCCTTATTAAAACAGGCAGCCAAGTAAAATTTTGCCAGGGCAACTATGTCATCAGGCATACTTGCCTGGCTGAGAAACGAGCAGTTCTGAACGGAAAGTATGAAGTTAGAGAGCTTCACTTAATGGTACAAATGAGGCTAATATCTATAACCCTGCATAATAATAAAGAGGTGAATGACAAAGATTGTGTGCATGAAAAGTATTGATTTGGATATAAGCATTCTCCAACTGTATATTTGTGCTATTCAAATGGGCATTGTTGTCCATTTGTTGAGAATGCAAAAGTTTACAACACCAAAACAATTCCTTGGAAAGAAAATGTTAATTTTACTAAGTGATACATTTGGTTGAACTAGCGATATTTGGTTCTAAGAGCGGAATTTTACCGTCTAGTTGAAACCCACGACACACAACGCAGTTTGTTTTGGATGCTGCAATCAAAAAATAATTTTCTACTACCCCTTGGAATATGCCAATGTACCAACACAATAAGTACTAAGAAATATCTGGGGAGTGGGAAGAGGCAATTTCTTAGTATTTTCAAAGGACCACTTGGCTCAAACACCCTGCAAGAGAGTTCATATTCTCCCTTGCCCACCCCTACACAAAGTTAACAGGTTTCTGTTACAGTCTTTTAGTATGTTGTCATATTGTGTCCAACTGGCAAAAATATTGACATCCGATGGCCTCGTTTTTGATCAGGAACTAGCATTTTGTTTACTTGAAGTACCTTTCCCAATATTCTAACCTTGATAGTCCTACAGGCTTTGCACTAAAAACCAATATGGCTCCCTGTACATGTATATTTTCCAATTGAAATACCATTAAAAAAGCAAAAGTTTCAGTGTAGGTAGGAAGGTAAAAGGTACACAAGACACAAGTCAAATATCATTACTTCAGAGAAGGATCTCAACCGTGCAACTTGCAAGATAACACTAATTGAAAGAAATATACAATAATGACAATTTAATAACATACCAGGATTTCTGCAGCATAACTGGTATTGACAGAAATGGCTTTGCATAGATCTTCAAACAGAGTTTGCGGAATGCTCTCTTTGTACTGTCTTGGCTCACTTTCATAAGTTTGTTCACCAATATAGCTCTTTGCCACAACCATGCGGTTCTGTGTGAGGACTCCTGTCTTGTTACAGCAAATGTTTGTGATATTACCCATTGTTTCTAACATATTGACATGTCGCACCAAGGCTCTGTCATGGTACATTTTCTTGACACAGAATGCCAGGGAGGTGGATATCACTAGAGACAGTGCTTCTGGGACAGCAATTATAAGGACAACAACACCGATTATTAAAGATCTGATGTATTCATTAAAATGACTGGGTTCAAAGGATAGACCCATTGTGGAGAAGGTATGAACACTAAAGCGGATAATTATGACCAGAATGGCAACAAGTGCTAGAACGATGCTGACATGACCAAGAGCCACTTGGATCTTGTTTATTTTCCCTTGCAATAATGCAGTATCTTCCTTATGCTCAAATGAAGCAGATTCCACATTAACATCCTCTTCATCAGGGAAAGCTGCCCTAAATGTAACAATTGAAGGTGTTGTGGGAGATCGAGTGTCCCTCATGTGCAGCTGTGTGTGGAGTCCAACAGCCATCACAACCATCCTACCAGACCCATCAACAATGTGTGTGCCAGCGAACACCAAGGGGTCTGTTGCCTTAGGTACCATACTTCTCTGACCTGTTAAAGCTGATTCATTGACAAAAAGCTCATTTTGCTGCACAATAACTCCATCAGCTGGGATAAGAGTTCCAATGTTCAACTGGCACAAGTCACCTACAACAATGTCCCTTGCAAGAAGCTCTATAACTTGTCCACTTCGGATGACTTTAACTTTACGCTCTCTGTTAATTTTGGAATGCAGGCTACGGAAATCGCTCTCTTTCAGGTAGTCACTGAAAGCTATCAATAGTATCATGACCATGACAGTATTCATGATTCCAATACCCTCATACATGACCACAGCAAAAGAATCATGACCCTCACACTTTTCAGGAAAGACAGCACCCAGAATAACAGAAATCAAAGCCCCACCAAACAAGATCAATATCACCCAGTCCTTCATAGCACAAAGAAGATAGTTAAAAATGTTTCTAGGTTGATCTAAAGGAATTACGTTTCTTCCAAACACTTCTTGCCTGTGTCTAACACCGTCCTGAAGGCCAATTATTCCTTTGTTCGCCGAAGTGTGAAGTTCATGAATGATGTTTTTAACACCTCCAAACTTCTCTTCAATAACAGCAATAGCTTCGCCACCTCGGCCTCCCATGACTTCTAGTAACTTCTCCTTAGGAGTGTTGCTGAAGTCAGGAATAAACCTTCTGTCCAGTTCGTCCGTCATGATGCAGAGGTCTGTAAACGTGTATGGGACACAGAGGGAATACACAAGGTTCACACCCCTAAAATCAAATGAAGGGTTGTCAATGTGTTTGGACTTATCGCCTAAAGACAAACTAAATTGGAAAGAAACAATGCAAATAAGCTTCAACAACGCCCCGTGGCCGCGTGTTTGTTTAACAAATTGACGTCACGGACAGAACAGAAAACGAAAGTACCACCGCAAAAAAAAAAAAAAAAGAAACATGCCAAAATTAACGATAAATATGTTTCACCTTCAATCTCTGGGACTCAGAGTAGAATTTCAACAACATTGCCAAGGCAAGACTTGAAAAAAACGGACATTTGCTTTGAGCTGGATAAGTCATAAGCCCACGTAAATGCTGGATTGGAGTACCGACAAAGGAGTCCAACCGACTGACAAACAAATTGAGAGATTACAAGTCTTACCTTTCTTAAAATTTACTTTCTCCTCTCTTCGTCTTACTGTCGAACAAATTAAGCCAACTCACCAAAAGTGGGCTGCCACAACGAGACTTGTTTTTATGTTTTCAACCTTTCATTTTCTCGTTACCAGTGCTACCCATCAGGCGATGATTGGTACCCAGTTTCCTACCTCAGTCGTATAATCCGCTCGGGGATAAGAGGGGATAAGACGGGATTCTGAAAATAACAGCAAACCAACTTACATACTCAATCCTGGTGATTTCTGAACATTCCTTGTTTCATACTTTCATCGCAGTAATTTACGCATTGGGAAATAGGCCAAAAAATTCACATGGTCTGAATATATAAAGTGTAACGAATCGCTTATTCACTTCTATGAACTTACTGTTACCCGGGAGTATAAATAACCGGAGTGATAACCGGAGTGTTCTCCATCGTCCACGACCAGGAATTAGCCAAAACATTAGTTTATCTATGAGCCTATTCAAGGTGCTCAACTGGCAAGTGATTCGTGACCAAGGGGATGACTCCCACAAGGAAACCATTAGAGATAGATTGAGGTCTCCCCTTGGTGCTGGGAATCTTAAAATATTTCCCAGAGGTAATCCCTAAAATGGACCGTATGTGGAGGGAACTTATATACACCTCAAACCTGACGAGACAGTTAAAATGACAAGAGCTTTTTTGTGGGCGCATCAAGAAAACTGTCATTAGGTTTGTTAACGGGCCTTTTAAAACAAGAAACTGAAAGCTTATATCAAGCGCGAAGTTGACTCCTTTTGTTAAGGAAAATAAAGTTGAACTAAGAGGAATGTTTCATAGCGTGACACTTATCGCGCTTTGACACATTCTATCTGTTTTGAACAGAAACAGTTTGACTTTACTTTTCTTGACGTTGTTAACTCAGTACAACTGGTACGCGTCTCTTTCGCTGACGTTATTTGAGCAAATTGTGTTATACAGCAATGATTTGCAAGTCTTAACAAGTTTGCGTTTTCTGTACTCGATCCAAGGCAAATACACTTCACGCAAACAGAAGTCGTGCGAAAAAACATGGACCACACTCGGCCCAAGGCCGGGCGGTTAATGAATTAACTGCCCATGACATAATGGGTATTGGAATAGTACAGAAGCATTAAATGACATGCGAATGTGGATTTGTGTTACTCATAACGATAGTTGTTTATGTAACAAAGATTTCTCGCCAAATTGTACACACAGGGAGAAAGTTAAGGGGCCGATTCCCTGCAGAAAACAAACTGACCATTGGGCGAGGGGCGGGGGGCGGGGAAAACTTGTTTTAGTGGCCTTAAATTAACCACAAGAGAACGTCAATCTGTGAAAATACAAGAACTATAACTGTAAGCTACTGACTAACGATTACTGGACGAGGTTGCACAATGATTTGTCAATGGCAAGCAGATCAGATATTTGCCGAAGGTGAAGGTTAAGGCAGATAATTGATCTCCCATACACTGACAAATCACGATATTTGGGGATAACCAAGGTGGATAATCGTTTTATCACCAAGTTTGTTTTCATATTTACAGCTGACAGCCTGTTCACGGCTCAGGAAAGCGATCTGCATTTTTTTTACACACAAGAGTGGTTAAAATTCCACACGGGCAGACCATTATTTGTAGGTGTTTATTTGCGGGTAACGTGGTGGGCTTTCAGCCAATGAAAAGGAAGAAAAAATGCATCGAATGACAATCACCTTTATTAAGCCTATTTATTGAAGCTCCCTACATTTATTATATATTGCTGACATATTTCAGATCAATAATGCAAAGGATCCTAATACAGATACTTATTACATGTACCAAGTGTTGATAAAGGCACACTTAATTTTCGCTTAAAAATAATTCAAGATTTTCAGAAGAATCTTCAATCAAAAGCCTTGAATCATGACAAAGCAAATAAATAATTACTTAAAAATATTTCACCTTAATAGCTGAATATTGAAATGCCTGTTGCAACAAATGATCTTTTCTCAAAAATAAAATAGAAAAGTGTAACTGTAGCTATGTGGGTAAAATGCACTTTATTGAAACTTGGACAAGATGGTACAAAATAATGTTAGTAACGTAACCAGACACCAACGCCTACGGCCTAAAATTTAATTTGCCTTGTTTCACAAAACATTGAAGTCCTTAACTTTTATCAGAACACTCTGTTTCCAACGTTGATAATTAAATTTATTTAGTCATTATCCTGAGAAAACAGCTCTCTAGACACACGCGAGTTCTACTCCCAGCAAGAGAGAGAGAGACGGAGAGAAGTTCATAAATGGAAACAGTTAAAAATTGATGACACGCCAGTAACAAATATAAAAACGGGTAGTCTCTTTGTAACACACCCCTTTCTCCCACAGGGGGAATAATTAAGCCAATGCCAAGACATCTCTAACACACCTCAAACAGACTGACCTCGCTTAAATAATTTAAGAGTAGCAACCAATCAGCAGCTTAAAACCCCTGATGACTGATGACTTCTTGGAAGAGTGTCAAATAAATGAGACTAAAATACGATAACAGCAGGGACTGAAAGGCAGTAAATTCAATTTGGAGTAAACCACAAAGAGACATCTGAAGTAACAGCCACCTTCGTTATCATAAATACAAACATTTAGACATTCACTACCACTAACGTTTCTTTTCATGCTGGATAAAACAGACTTCAGGCTTTTTTCCGGACTTTAATGGACAACTCTGACATATTCAATTACCCATCCATTAAACAGGGGAAACACAAACTACAAAAATCCTCAAAACGTTCCTAAAGCCAGATTTAATTACCGATCCTGCACGAAACTGTCAAGACACTAATTTCTTGCACCAAAATGTTAAGCTTAAAATGGGTATGCTGCCTTTCTCTCTCTCCCCTCTGATTGTCGTATTCAGTCAGTAATCATGCCTTATGTATTGGAGAATCTTTGTTTGCAATATTTGCCTCATTAACATAAGCGATACAGTTTCTGATGGAGCTACAAAAACATAAGTTCTGAATATCGCAAGGGCACAGCACGATTAACTGTCCCAAGGAATTTGAGCCCGATGTATTGAATACTTGTTGTGCAACGCGGGTTTGAAAGCTCGAGATTTTACAAAGAATGTATGAGCTCATCAGCGCTTTTTCACCCAGAAATTTTGCAGTTTTTGAAAGGCAATTTCTCCTTGAATATTACACCCAACGAACCACAAATTTCCATCAATTACTGAGTTCTACAAGCTCTGTAAATGTTTGTAGTCAATTCGTGTCTAACGTGATGCCTTCTCTGTGCAAAGTCGTATGTTAATGAGGAAAAATGTAAACACTGACGTCAGCAAAGATTCTCCTATAGGCAACCTTCTAAACAACAATATTGATGGCAAGGGAGTAATGACAAAACTTGAAAGGGCTTTAAACGCAGTCATCATGAGAGAGTATTGCTTAGATGAGTGACACTATCTCGTCCAGTTACAACCTTTCTGAGATTTCTTCTCGCCTTATATTCATGTTCACTGCTGTCCCTGTCAGTTTTTTGGTGGCAAACTAATGCCATTTTCCCTCAAAAATACAAGGACTGCTAGCAAAGATTCAACAGTTTTTAAGCAGAGAACTGATTTTTCCATTTGAAGGGACTTATGAAGGGCTGTACAAACCATAGATATCCACAAATGTGAGCCAGTAAGTGGTGAGCAAATCGAAATTCAGTTAAAAGGAATTTTTTCAATACCAATTAATGAAGAAATTATTTTATACCTTGAATAATATATACCTACAATGACAAAAATGTATATTTCTTTTGTCTTAAAAAAGTCTTCAAAACTAAAGCGTCACTTCACTGTTAGGATATGCAGAGTATTATTTTGCCAGGTGAGAAAGCATTTTCCAAGATCAAGCAAAGATATCTACAAAAAATTAAATTGAAAGATTCTAGTTTTGCATTCTAGAAAAGGATAAAAATCCACAGCACGGTGTGTGAAGAGATTGGTGTAAAGTCATAAACATACCCACAAAACAAAACTGATTAAAAAAAAGCTGGAGCTGGAATTACTGATGGCCAGTCCAAGATACAGTGGCTGGACCGAGTAACATTAATTATCTACAGTTGTAACATCAGCCTACTATTTCAAGAAAAATTTATTGGGTATTGAATTTGGTTGCACAAGCAAGACTACTACTCTACATAAATCACAAGAGGCTATTGTTCAAAACCTTCTTCATACATTTGAAGTTCTATTGATACTCTTCTTGGTCACTTTGCGGTTTCTCTGTCAAATTTGGCTGTCAAAAATTTAGCGATATGTGTTATGACCAAGGTCACTGTGAGATATCTTATTTTCTAAAAAATCCATCAACTTTTTTTTTTTTTTTCCAAGATGTCTTGGGAATCTTCAGAAAAAAATTATGTGGTAATCAATCAAATTCACAGTCGATAAAAACAAATTCATTTAGGGAAGAGTAAATAATAATGAATAAATGAAGTCCCTATTTTCACTTCAAACATTTTATAACCATTTTACACCTTTACTGTGTGAAATGCCACTGTGGATACTGCAGTTACCCAGTGGGCATAACTGAGCCAACAGAAATACAGGAGACTAAGTTTCAAGTTTTTAAAATAATTTGATTTGGAAAATGCAAATAAACTTGTAATCAGTGGTTTTGTTGTTGTAAACTTTTTCCACAAAAATCATCACTTGAAGGTCTACTGTAATCTTAATAGAATCAGAAAGAAATCCACAGGGACAAAAAAGGCAAATCAGCCTAATTTACATATGCAAAAAGGTAATTTTGATTAGATATCAGCCCACTTACAATATAGTAGACTCGAAACAATTTTTCATCCAATAAATAAATAGCAATGGAAAACAAAACCTACAAAATTTGCATCTCACTAATTGGCATCTAAGTTTTTAAGTCACTACTTACATGTAAGGTGTTAGCTAAAGAAAGAATTCATTTCAGTCCACTCATCAGTGGATTACATTAGTCTGTTCCTACATAACTACTTTGAACATCAAAAGGGTTAAAATAGGAGAGGAGAATTTAAGCTGCCTGCAGGGACTTCCATAGCAATCATGATCACCTGCATAGATTAAGAAAATGTTAATTAAAGATTGTTTTATTTTACCTCAGGGTCAATAATTACGAGCATAATTACTCTACTACAAAGGCTGACAAGAGTGATTGATGACCAACAGAAGAAAAGTGTAAGGCTCACAATAGTGTCTGGTGTATGTAGACGTAGGTGTGCATTAGATGACTGAATACAGGAAAGATCAGCTTTATTCTAGTGCAGAGTAACTTAAGCCCACCCTGAAATTTTGTTTTTGGTTCCTAGGAGTAACCATAAAAAACATGAGTTCCAGATGACCTTGATGACTGTGTTATTGTCAGGACCAACTCACAGAACTTTTAAACACACTCACATGTATATTTACCTCTGTTTTTATAATATCTTCAATCATGTTACAAATTACAACATTAAAATTAGACACTATCGAGATTACTTTCTTTCATGTTTTGCTTAAGAGTTTTAGACAGAGCTTTCCACACTTGCATACCGCGGTATTGTGCCAGCTCCAGTATCAGTGCCATCCATGGCAGAAGGATACTGAGAATCATCATACACCATTGCCGTACGTACAGGAGCTAGCAAGGAATTGAACACTGCAGGAGATGCAATGGCTCGCTGACTACGACCATCAATAACGCTCCTGAATGCATTGACCACACGAATCTGAGTACAGATATGATAACAATAATTACAACACTAAATGGAGACATTATGAAACAACCAATTTAAACTTGCCCCTAAAACCCTGTAATGCATACAGTATTGCACAAAAGGAATGCAAACAAATTTTGATGCTTTTTGCAACTTTTCCGCAAAATTTGATGAAACAAGAATATTTCTGAGAAGTTAGACGTATTATCAAAATGGCTACTGTTTGAATCAAAACAAAATTTAGGGCTGCTATTTGCTTTTCTTGTTTCATGTCATTTCTTCTGGCCTTTAATAAATCTCATGCGTTGTGTTCAATGTCACAACAAATGGTGCATGCAAACTCTTCACTAGATTTATACTCTATTCCCAGATTCTACTGTTCTCGTTAAGGAAAATGTTTACATTCTGAAGAAGTTGGCACATGTTATTTCACCAAAAAGTGCAAATTAGCAAAAACCTTCAGAACATGCTTCACTTTTTAAAATGAAAGCCACATGCCAAAAATCTACAAAACATTTCTGATTGACTGGCACCTTTCAATTGTCATCATGTTTCATTTACTTTCAACAGTCTCTGTTTAAAAGCAAATGTTCTGTACCAAGGTGATGGAAATAACATTTTTGATACTTAAGAGCACATTGGATGGTACAAAAAAGAAATCAAACTTAATCTTATTTCTATGGTAACTTACTTGATGCTGTAATCTTGTCAGGCCACGTATCCAAAGTAGACGAGCTTTGCTGTCCTTTGGTCCATCAGGTTCTACAATCGTAGCAAGAGGAAGTTCTTTTGTGCCAAAACGACAGAGTTTAGGGAATGAGTTTTTGGGAATTGTAAGGACAAGCTGTCCCCACACCAGCTCAGAAAATCCTAGGAAGATACACCACATCCATTCTTCCCAGCCGAGGCCTTTTACATGGAAAGCTTTCCCGGTCAACTCAATAATAAGTATCTGAAAAACAACAGTGTGATGTATTACAAAATAGTAACACGTTTAGCTGAAGATGTTTGTTTAAAAGGTGCAAGGGGGAGACTGAATAATTATAAAAAATTTAGATGATAAGCCCTGGGGTTACACAACTTCATAAAGGGTCTTGGGTGGGCTTATAAACAGGGGGATTATTTCCAGGAGAGAGGAGGGGGCTAACAAGATGTATAGAATAAAACGTTTCCAAATAAGCTGATGAAACCAACTTACATCAGGATTAGAAGATGTTTTATCTTCTTGGGAACAAGAAACACAAAATTTAAGTACGGAAACAAGTATACATTTACCACAGGGCATTGCACGAAGCTTCCTCATAATGGCAAATATTTGAGGCACACAATAGACCTTTGATGCTGCAGTGTTTCAAATTAGAGAAGGTCTTGGGTTGATGATACAATTGTGACTAATTCTTCAACCAACAAACTTAAGTGCAGAAATTATATTTGCTTAGGTGTAGTATAACAATAATAAAAAATAAGTTTCCAAATAGAAAACATTGGAATATAATCTTTCCAGGTGAAAGAAATTACAGAAATTATTCTACCTCGGTTCTGAAGACAAAGACAAACACTGGTGTTTGCTAGTAAGTGGTAACCAGTTGCATAGGGTTATTTCCCATTGCTTTCAACCAACAAGAGAAACATACCAAGTCACCTGGCCAGGCAACCAACATTCGTTTTAGTGAAAAGCTTCAATGACAGAGTACTATAAGTTTAGAATATTAGGAAAGGCATTTCAAGTAAACAAAATGCTAGTTCCTGATCAAAAACGTGGACTGCAGATGCAAATATTTTGTCTGCTGGACACGATACAATGACATACTTAAGGACCATAACAGAAATGTGTTAACTTTTTCTGTTAGTGCATTAACTTCATGTAGAGGTGGGTGAGGGAACATATGAACTCCCTCACAGAGTAAGTGAAGCAAGTGGCCCTTCAATAATACTACCAAATTGCCTATTGCCCACTCCCCCGAGATTTTTTGCTACTTCTTGTGTTTTGGCAATTGCATACTCTAAGTTGTAGTAGGGAGTTATTGTTTGGCCGCAACATCCAAAACAAACATGGCGTCGTGTGTCATGGTTTTCTAAGAAACAGTAAAACACTGTACAGTACCGATCAGAAGAAACCTAACAGGGAACGCATTTGTGAACGGGTATAGAACAGATACAGAACTGGTACGAGAACGTAAACAGAAAGGGTACAGAATGGGTAAAGAACGGGTACAGAACGGATACTGAACAGAGAT